CGGATTTTGACCATGTGTGAATAGGGCTAGTGCGAGTGGAGGAAGGATGCGTGGGCTATACAGGAAGATGTTGGGGGTCGGCAGCCGGTGGTGGAGCCAAAGCTGACACTGATGGCTGTGGTTGAACGGGAAGAGGTTGGGGGGCAACGGCTGGTGCAGATGCCAGATCAGGAGCGGGTTGTGGATGCTGGGCTGGTGCTATCTCACCCAAAACAGGTGGTGATGGCGGGGCTGGTAGTGGTGCCTGAGCAAGCGCTGATTGGGGAGGCGAGAGAATGACGTCAGCTTGAGCAAAAGGAGAAGCACAAGACGAAGGGGTTAAGATGGCAACATGAGCTGGAGATTCCGTATGGGCCTGATGAGTTAAAGACAGATTGGGTTCCGTATGGGGCATGGGCCCAGTGTCCAGGTGAGAGGCATGATGCCCATTGAGCATGTCTGAACTTGTGAGAACAGAACACAAACCAAATCAGTGGCAGGGGTTGTCACGAGTGCAGGTGACAGGACCCGACCCAAATTCCACTTTGGAACCCGACCCGAACCCTGTGCGTGTCCGACACCTGGCAAGTGTTGGCCACAAATGACCTAATTACCCTTCTAAACAAAATTTCTAAAACAACTGGGGTTTGACTTCTGCCGAAAAACTCAGCAAAGTCTCCCCTGAGACGGACCAAACCTAAGATTACACCTGTCAAACATGCATATAAAAATATACACCAACTGCTAGCATACAAAAATTTACATACTAACAATTAGACAAGTGTTCTAGGGCAATATCAGAGCTCTACACAGATTAGATTACAGGTATAAAATAAATAAACAAGACCCTACTTTGTCAAGGAAGGTGGCGGAAGATGGACTCGGCCCGGTGGTGGCGCACTGACGCACGACTACAGCCTGGGGGCGCAAAACATTAAAAGAGTGAGTGGACCAAAAACAAAGTTTAGAAAAATAGCATAAGAACATACTAACCCCACTGTAAAAACTGTTATAAAACTAACTCATTTCTTATATAAATACGCGTACTGGAATCATTGTATTCATATCTATATATATATAATCAATCACAGACTTGATCAAACATTAAATCATTGGAAGCATTGAAATCAATTTTTAATCTACCACCTAGGTGTACCCATTTATTGTTCCGTCAATTCCATATAATCCGTCAATTCCTTAGTTCCGTCAATTCCTTATGTTTCCGTCAATTCCTCTATAATCCGTCAATTCCATTCTCGTGCCACCGAAGTGACAAATTCTCGCAAGTCTCGGTGACGCAAGGTCAACCCAAACCGCTATCTCGCAGGATTCAGGGGACACTAGGTCAACCTGATCACGGTCCGGGCGTCCCCGCAACTCGTGGGGCAATGTCAAGCATGCTGACCTAACCGAAGGCAACAAGATGTCCGTCGACATCATTATAACCGAAGGCAACTGGATGTCCGTAGACATCATTATAACCGAAGGCAACATTTAAATCTGAAGGCAACATATTTATCGAAGGCAACCTTAATTAATCTTGGGTACCTATGGTGGTTTCTAAGAAAAATATAGTTTCATAAATAATTTAACGAGAAATAAAATAAATTCTTATTTAACTCTGAACTCTACTGCCCTTTTATCTGTTAACTATCTAAAACTTTAGTATGCCAAAAATCTCTAGGCACTCTCAACTCGGCAACATGTAAAATATAAAAATAAAACATAAAACATATAAAAGCGATAAATCAAGCTATTAAAACTCTGATAAATGAATAAACTCATCCAAGATCAACTAATAAGATTAAATTGCATAAATTCATTTATGAAAACAAAAAGGTCCACTCACAGATACTCTCAGCTAGCTGGACCCTTTGAAGGTCCCTCCTGCGGGTCACCTGGTGCCCGGGTGCCTGTATAACCATCATAATATTTTATTACAAACTCTGCTCAGTAATATAATATTAAATTAAAAACCCTGACCCCCGGCTCCAAAAAAGTGCATGCATCAACTTAAAGATCATTCCTAAGCCCACACTAGCTTTCCTCTCACTGGGTATGACTTAGAAATAACTCGGGACTCAAAAGCGATAAAGTCTCCAAAAGTCAACTCGGGACCCCGTGGGGTCCATGACCTCAGAATTTTGATCCGATCGTTCCTAGAGCTTTCGATAAGCCTAGGACACAAGTCCCGAGAGTTTGGTCTCGATCGGACGGTCGGATTGCTCACGATCGCACGATCGGACGAACGAACGATTTTCCGTAAATCTAGCCCTAGGGTTGGCTTTTTCGGAGCATCCGGAACTCCGATTTACGATCCGTCGAATCCTACAAGATCCTTAAAATATCTATATCGACATACTCCAGTTTGGCTATAATCCAACGGTCCGAACGTATTGAACCCGGAAATCGTACACTAAGCGAGATCCGTTCGGGGTTCAAACGTTATCCGAATTGAGATTCGTGAAATCCTACGCGTTCGTGAGGACACGAGGATTATTCTAGGACCAAAAGTGGCTCCTCCTACCTGGCCCACGCGCCGCCCACGCGCCGCCAGCGCGTGGGTGTGCATAGTAAATTCCAGCGGCCGGAAAATCTCCAAATCGCCGGCCCAAACTCCTAACCTAGGTAAAACACCTCATTTGGAACCACTTTTGTTCTTGGACTATGGCCAAAAAGTGGCCGGAAGTGACTGAAAATGGCGTCGCAAAACCGGCAGTAACTCAACTCATAAATCGACCTGTCAAACTTCAAAATCTCTGAAAACCTACCTAACCAACAGCTAGAGCATGAAAATCAGTCGAAAAACCATACCTTACTCGACTGATTTGGTGGCCGGAGGAGGGAGAACGAGAGGCTTGAAATTCGGAGAAAAACCAGCCAATTCCGGGCTGTTTCCGGTGGCTGTGGCGTCGGCGGAGGCAGGAGGAAGGTCGGAGCGGCTGTGGGTGCGACGCCGGTCAGGTCTTGGCTGGTCCGGTGCGGTTTGGTGGAGGTGGGTGGTGGCTGGGCTGGTTCGAATGAACAGTAACGGGTAGGGGGTTTTGCGCGGGTTCTGATCGTGAGGAAGAAGAGAGTGAGGAGAGAGAAGGGAAAACAGATTTTTAAAAATCTGATTTTCGGAAATTACCACTTTGCCCTTCTTTCGTATTTTTCTCTTAACTTCTTCGTTACAAGTCCGATTCGAGTCCACTACGTGTCTACGGACTTGTTTTGTCGCGCTCTACGCAACGGTATAATCGGATTTCCCAAATTATTTTCCGGTCAAAAAGTCAACTTAAAACCAAATAAAATAATCCAAGGGTAAATGAGTCTTTTCCTCTTTTAAATTATTAGTTAAATATTAATTAAGGTTTGGGTTGTTACAGCAGGGGCAGAGTAGGGGAAAAGTATGCTCGTGGAAGACAACATGTCGAGAAGTATAGACACGCCCGGTGGGAGGGTGATAGCAGCGATACCCACGATAATTAGCACTGTATCCAAGAAGAACGCAAGCAAGCGAACAATGTTGTAACTTGTTAGAAACATAAGCACCAAGATAAGGATAACATGTACACCCAAATGTGCGGATAAGGGAATAATCCGGGTCTTTACGAAACAACCGTCGATAAGGTGTTTCCCATTTGAGAAGCGGGGTAGGAAGACGATTAATTAAGTAGACAGCGGTACAAAAAGCCTCAACCCAAAAGGAGTGAGGAAGATGGGCAGTGAGAAGTAAAGTACGCCCCATGTCAGCAATATGACGATGTTTTTGTTCTGCTAGGCCATTTTGTTGGGGTGTATGTAGACAAGAAAAGCGGTGAATGATGCCTTTGGAAGCACAAAATTGTTTAAAAATGCTATTATCAAATTATTTGCCCCCATCACTTTGAAATTGTTTAACAGTTAACGAAAATTGAGTTTCAACATAGTTGACAAAGGTAGAAAAATGATGAAATACTTCTGATTTAAGTCGCATTGGAAAAATCCACGAGAAACGAGTAAAATCATCAGTAAAAAGGACATAATAACGGAAACCGGAAATGGAAGTAACAGGAGACATCCAAACATCAGAATGTATTAATTGAAAGGGTGCACAAGAACAATGCTCATGAGATGAAAAAGGGAGACGAATTGATTTTGCTAAGGCACAATGGCTACATGAATTATGGGATAATTTAAAAATGAGAACCTAACAAGGACTGAGAGACTAAGGTGCGAAGCACTTTATTGGACGGATGACCCAACCGGCGATGCCAAAGAGACGACGAGATGGTGGAGGAAAAAGCTAACTTGGAGCAAGACACGAACTTGGATGCAAGATAGGGCAAGACTGGATAAAGGCCATCACTACATCGGCCCTGAAAGAGAATAACACCTATGTGTAAGTGACGAATAATATATCCCCAAGAAACGAAAGTAATGCTAACAGGATAATCGTGGGTGAATTGAGCAATAGAAAAAAGATTTTTGTGAAGGGAGGGAACAAGAAGAATATCGGATAAATGAAAACCAAAGGAGCCAGAGGAAAATTTGACATTACCAGAATGAGTAATGGGAAGGGAGGCACCGTTACCAATGAGAACCTGATCAGAAGTGTTGGAGACATTTGTCAGGGTACGAGCGTCATTAGTCATGTGATTGGTGGCACCAGAGTCCAAGTACCAATTAGGATCAGAGGGTTGAGAGATGTGCATGCCAGCAAAAGAAGATGAGAAGTCAGCATCACGGGAAGACATGGGGCACCGAGCAGCAATATGGCCAAATTGGTGGCAATTCCAACATTGAAGGGGACGTGAGGGCGGAGGAGGCCCCAAGATGCTAGAGTTGGGCTGGGAGGGACGGTATGGGCGGTGATGGGACTGACTTGAGCTTTGAAGAGAGGCACGAGTGGACCCACTAGAGGGGGAACCGAAGCGTGGAGACTGTGAACTATGGCGGGTGCCACGAGAACCACGATGGTGGTTGGAACGATGAGCCTGTTGTTGAGCAGAGTAAAATGCTTGCGGCGATGGCGGAGGAGCCAGAAGTGTGGTAAGGGATTATTGGGCATCGAAGGCGAGAAGACGAGCCCGAAGGTCAGCAAAGGTGGGGAGGGGGGGAAATTGCATAATAGCGGTGATGAGCATGGCATAGTCGGGACCTAAGCCACGGATCACATAGCTAACCAAATCATCAGAGGAAACGGGGTTACGAATGGCTGCCAACTGATCAGATAAGCTCTTGGCAAGAGCAAGGTATTCAGAGACTGTCTTAGTCCCTTTGGTGATGGAGAGAAGTTGAAACTTGAGCTGTGTGGCATTAGCAAGGGATTGTTGAGAAAAGTTTTGACGAAGACAGTCCCAGACTGCCTGGGAAGTGGTGAGACCAACAACTTGAGCAAGAACCGGCTCGGTGAGAGTGGAACGAAGAATACTGATAAGAGATTGATCATTTTGATACCAGGTAAGGTATTCCGGGTTAGGAACGGAGACCAAGGAATTGAGACCATCATCAACAGCTTTGTCTTTGGTGGAGGTAAGAATAGCAGGAGGGCATGGGTGAGAACCATCGATGAATCGCCAAAAATTTTGCCCAATAAGATAGGGTTGGACTTGACTTTCCCATAGAAGGTAATTGGTTTCCGAGAGTTTGGTGGAGACAAGAGTAGAGAAATTGGGGAAGGAGAGAACACCAGCCGAAGAGGAGGAGGAGGAAGGGGAGGACGCCATGAAAAGGGAGAGAAGCAGAAAAATTTTACAGAAAAATGTAGGCTTTAGATACCATGTAGAAACAGACTCTTTTCATATATCAAATAAGGACTATTACATGGGTTTTATACAATCTGATTACAGCATATAAGTAACAGACAATTATTACAACATGATTACAGGCATTAGTGGTGTAGGAGTTACAGAATGGTGACAGCATAATTGTAACAGACAATTATGCAATTATAGACATTAACAACTATAACGGAAGACTGCATTGATTGGCCTTTACTATCAAGAACGTGGTGGTTGACTAACAGTTTTCTTAACCTTTTGGAAAGAAGGGGAAAGAACTCCCTTTGGGGGTATTATTGGGGTTCAAACCCTATTAGAGAGGGTGATCTGCAAAGTGGTCAGTAGATGTTGTGCAATAGTATTATTGTATTGCTAATTTACCGTTTCTGTTTTTTTTTTTTAAAATTTCTAAATTACATTTCAGATATTGATGAATGCAAGATTGGCCATAATGGATGCGGGCCCGACAGCAAGTGTGTGAACGCTCCTGGTTATTACGTTTGCGTTGACAAATTTATCCAACGCAAAAAGAAAACTAAATTTATCCTTATAGGTACGCCATATATCATCGTACATAGTATATGACTTTGGAATTAAACGGAGTTGATTTCTCTTTAAAAAGAAAAGACAAAAGAACTGTGTGTTACCATTTAATTTGTTTTTTTTATAAAGAAGTGTTATCACTTAATTAGTGTGTGGATGATGTATAATTTAATGTGAAATATATGGTCAAACATATGGTCATCAACCGGTAACAACCTAAACTCAAACATATGGTCAAATATTTGGTTTGGGAAAATTCTGCTTACAAATTACAATCCAAATTGCAATTATATTTTTGTATATTGCCATCAACAGTTTAGAGCTAGTTTGGTCATTCTTCACTGTTAAATATATTAGAGGTCTCTGGAGTTAATTATTTATTAAACATAAACTCTGCCAAAGTGTCAAGAGGAATTTTAGACATAAACTCTTTTGTATATTGCCATCAACAGTTTATTTTATTTTATTTTATGGGCACAAGACATAAACTTGGTTTGCAATTTGTGATCATTTATCATTTTACTGAGTTATGTATTGCAGGTCTTGGTGCGGGTCTTGGACTGTTACTTTTGCTTATCGGTGCATGGTTCGGATATAGATTCCTAAAGAAACGCCGTACCATGAAACGCAGGGAGATGTTCTTCAAGCGAAATGGTGGATTATTATTAGAGAAACAATTGTCGTCAGGTGAAGTTAATGTTGAGAAAATCAAGCTATTCAAATCAAAGGAGTTGGAGAAGTCCACTGACAATTTCAATATTGATAGAATTCTTGGCCAGGGAGGCCAAGGTACTGTTTACAAAGGCATGTTGACTGATGGAAGAATTGTTGCTGTGAAAAAATCTAAAAGCCAACTTTCAGATTTCATCAATGAGGTTGTCATTCTTTCACAAATCAACCACAGAAATGTGGTTCAACTATTGGGTTGCTGTTTAGAGACGGAGGTTCCCATTTTGGTTTATGAATTTATACCTAATGGAAACCTTTCCCAGTATATCCATGAGCAGAATGACGAGTTTCCACTTACGTGGGAAGTTCGCTTACGAATTGCTATGGAAATTGCAGGGGCTCTTTCCTATTTACATGTTTCAGCTGCCTTGCCCATTTATCACAGAGACTATTTATACCATATTTGACCAAGCAACTAGAAGCAATTCTAAAACAAGGCAAAGAGTCCCATATTGAAATATTGCAAGAAGTAAAGACTCCTTCTCATCTATAAAAGGAGACCACTCTCCACTTAGGAGAGGATCCCCCCCTTGGTTGGGCTTGATTTTTAGTCTTTGCTTTCTTCTCTTTATATTTGGGCCCAGCCCCTTGTATAAAATGTAAATACACATTACAATGAGAATGAAAATATACTTCTTCGTGGACGTAGCCCATTTATTAAGGGTGAACCACGTATATTTTGTCTTCTGTATATTTATCGCTTGCTTAAATCTTCACACACTGGATGATGGTCCTCACCTTCACCCATCATTCATCATACCCTATCACTAAGTTGACCCTCAAAGTCCTGAACCACTTTTTGGCGTCAACAAGCATTATAGGCTATTCGTGTTTGACCACCAAATGTAGTAGCAATCATGTTTAATTTGTGACACATCTTGTTATTCTGTTGTCATTTGAGTTACAAAGAACTTACGGCATACAAGCCTATTGATCTGTCAGTTGAACTTTCTATTCCCGGACTTAATTAAGCATCGGAGAGCCTTCGGCCGGTACCACACCGGTGCCCTAGGTCCTACCGTGCGTTTGCTTTTATTGCAGATCGCAC